GATCAAGAGGTATTTCTGCTTGTTATTGTGTGCAGCAGCTCAGAAAACAGCACAAGGCGCAACCTGATCAGACGAACGTGGGGTAATGTGACAGGCATCAGGGGGTACACTGTGCTTGTTTTGTTTGCTTTAGGAAAGACAGCTTCAGAAGCCATCCAGTTAGACATCAGTGAAGAGTCTCTAAAGCATGGAGACATCATTGAAGGAAACTTCCTTGATTCTTTTGAGAATCAGACACTGAAGACTGTGATGAGCATGGAGTGGACAGTAACATTCTGTTCCACCGCAAGGTTTATTCTCAAAACCAATGAAGAAATGTTTGTCAACATTCCGAGTTTGGCTGAATACTTGCTTAGCTTAAGAACACATCTCGAGGATATTTATATGGGAAAGGTCATTCATCACGATATGCCTGACAGAGACCCTCAAAGCCAGAGCTTTGTTTCTCTCAGTCAATACCAAGAAGAGTATTACCCAGATTACTGTAGTGGAACGGCTTTTGTCATTTCCCAGGATGTTGCTCGGAAGATATACATTGTTGCCAAGGAAACACCAGTTTTGGTTCCTCCCGATGTCTTTGTTGGAATCTGTGCTAAGAACGCTGGCATCATACCCATTCAAAGTTCTAGATTTTCTGGGAAAAAGCACATTAGGTACAATCGATGTTGCTACAAATTCATTTTCACCTCTTCCGAAATGAAAGATGAGCTATTTAAAGAATGGAGGGAGATAAGTGATGGAAAAGACTGCACTTTACTGGAAACTTATTATGGGCTGGTGTCCTGCAGAGTCTTGACCTACTTTGACAAGTTTAAACATTTTAACATGGAAACAATAAAAAATGAGGCTTTGCATTTTACCAACTAAGATTTAATTTCTGTATGTGAAGAAACTCTGTACTTACACCTTTAACTGTAATTTTTCCTGTTAGAAAGTTCATCTTATCTTTCACCTTTTGCTTTGAACATTTCCACTCAACCTTAGTTTTTAAATGTGAACGTTCCCCCCACCCCACCCTGTTCTTACAGTGAATTATTCCTGATGCTAAAAAAGGATGTGTTTTAATTCAGTAATTTAATTTATGATGCGTGCACGGGCTGTGCTTTTTTTCCCCCACATAATGTAGAACTGCATGCAATTCTTATTTTCTAAGTAAAAACTGTTTTAAAGAATTGGTGTATATCCACTGTTTTTTCATGTCATCTACTTGTTTGCCCCTCTATGCAGCAACTAGTTTTGATCCAATTTGACTGAGTGATACATCATTCAATCCCAAACTACCTTGCAAAATATGGAAATCATATCACACTCCAGTGAAATGTAGTTATCTCTGCATCCTTTTAACAGTGTAGGACAGAATGAAGAATAGAGCACCCCGTTGAAACTACCAGGGGAACAGCTTGATAAGTAGATTTTACACAGAATACCCAACCTAACTGCCCTGTCTTTAATGAACACAAGCCTTCATGACCTATTTGTATTTCATTCAGAAGACATAGCCGGTAGCAGCCCTGTACAACACAATTATGTTGGAATATGGGGGTCAGTATTGAATCAGCAATAAGAATGCCACCTAATGTCTGCCACCACTTCCTGTAAAGCCTTACGTTCTCTTTGGAAGTCTCTCATCTAAGTACTCCTTTTTGGGTCAGGACCCCTACAATTACACCACCATGAAATTTCAGATTTAAATAGCTAAAATCATGAAATTTGCTATTTTAAAAATCCTATGACTGTGAAATTGACCAAAATGGACCAGGAATTTGGTAGGGCCCTAGGGATGACCAAAGAGAGCAGCAGGATAAAAGTTGTGAAGCTAATGGAAGAGTTGCACTCATATGTTGGACTTAATGCCAGTTTTGTTACATTGGTCTCATGATAAGTTGGTGAAAAAATTCCACTGAAACTGCTTTGACAGAAAATTAGGTTGTTGTCAAAACATTTTCAAGACAAATCTGCTTTGGGCCGAAAACTTTTTTTTTTTTAAACCAAGTCAAAATTTTCTATGGATTCTTTTTTCATTGATATTTTCGATGGTGAAAGGGGACCCCTCTCCTTTCAGACACACACATTTTCTGAACAGTTCTAATAATAAGTAGGTAAAGAGTGTGTGAAAGAACACATTGAGGCCTCAGCTATTAATTCAATGCAGTTGCTCTGGCTAGCAGGAGTGTCAGAAGTTTACTTTGGAGCAGTTGAAAGAAGAGGGCTGTGGGAGTTTGTGCTTTACTTAGGGATCATTTACATGGGGACATGCTAGAAAATTAAGCCCCTTTATGGGCAAACTTCAAAATTAAAGTGACGTTAATTCAGTTTATTTTATTTCACTTTGAAGTGAATTAACTAAACTGAATTAAGGCCATTTTAATTCTACACTGGGGCCTAATGCAGTTTAATTAATCCACTTTAAATTCACACCTTAAGAAAGTTAAACTAAATTAACTAGAGTGTCCCTATGCAGACGAGCTCTTAACCTCTGAGATTTTGCCAAGTCATTTTCCTGAATTCTGATTGCTTCATTGCTTTATTTTTTTTCTCCTCAGTGGTTAGTTATTTTATATCTCATGTGTGCATATTATAGGCTATCAACAGCATGCAAGCTACATGGCTTTGAGGAAGGAGTATGGAACAGTGCTTAAGTGGCTAGCAGTAACTCACTGAAGGATCAGTCTCTGCATTTATCAGAAGGGAGAAAAAAAATAAAATTACACACACACACACACACACACACACACTTTTCCCTCAGAATTAAAGCGAGTGGCAGCTTTCAGTAAAGCTCACCTAAAAAAAAAAAGTGTATATATACAAACATGAAAACACCTCTGTGGCATTGTAAAATGTTGCCTAGACAAATGTAGCATATGCAGCCAACATTCCCAAACATTGGTTATACATAGTAGTTTTCATAAGTGACAATTGCAAATGCTCACACTTATCACATAAAGGAAGAGACTCACGAATTGTAGAAAAGTTTACTGAAAGGTCAGTACACTGTTCAGATAGCAACCAGCATACAAAAACCACTTAACATCTTAAAGTTAAACTAGCCAGCGCAAGTGGAAGGTATTTTTACATTCAACATAACTTTAAAACAGTAAAAAAATTTCCATGCATGCAGGATGTCTGACATTTTTGCACTGTGCCAGTGGAAGACAGTCATTAGCCATTCCCACGTAAAAAGCAAAACAGTTAATATTGGCCAATACAGTCTGTGCAGAGGTAATGCTATCTAAGGTATTTATTGGGCACCTACACCCATAGGATTTATACGCCGCTACTGGTATAATCTTGAATGAAAAAATCTTCTTTAAAATTCCAGTTCATAAGGATAAGTGACAGACATGTTGCATAAAAAGTTATTCTGCATTTAAATAGTATATTACTCATTACCTTTCCTCTCCCACCCCCAACACTCTAGCTTTTCTAAGTCCTCTTGCACCTCGCATCACCATTAAAAGGTCCTGCCCCACAGCACTGATCTGGCAGCAGTCAGCTGGATGTTGGTTCCTCTGCAGCCCAACGCCATTTCTCCCTGGCTCAGCCAGAGGGCTGCTGCAGTGCAACCAAGGCATCCTATTCATTTGCCCTGATTTGGGGGGCAGGGAAATGAACAAGCTACTTCTGTACAGATATCCAACTTGGTATTTTTATTACTACTTCCTGTGGTTACCTTCATTTAATACATTTTTTGAGTATTTCACATATTTTATTTTTTATCCTTGGAACTAAAATAATATGTAATTCATGGTTAAAATAAGACAGAAGAAATATATATATATATATGAGTCTTGATTTGTGGACCAAAATACATGGCCCATCTAGTCTGAAATCCTGTCCTCCATAGTAGTCAAACTGTTCTTCAGAGAATGTGTAAAACCTATGTGGTTTACCAAATTATAATAGGCTAGAGCAGGGACTGGCAACCTTTGGCACGCGGCCTGCCAGGGAAATCTGCTGGCGGGCCAGGCCGGCTTGTTTACCTGCATCGTCCGCAGGTTCGGCCGATCACAGCTCCCACTGGCCGCGGTTCGCCATGCCAGGCCAACGGGGGCTGCGGGAAGCGGCACAGGCTGAGGGATGTGCTGGCCGCCACTTCTTGCAGTCCCCATTGGCCTGGAGTGGCGAACCGCGGCCAGTGGGAGCTACGATTGGCCGAACCTGCGGACGCTGCAGGTAAACAAATCGTCCTGGGCCACCAGCGGATTTCCCTGGCGGGCAGCGTGCCAAAGGTTGCCAATCCCTGGGCTATAGCCATGAGTTACTTCCTCCACGGCTAAATTTATGTCCTTAAACAGGAGGCTTTATGCTCTTATCACTTTTACTCTAACTAACTAACATTACCGAAGTTCAGATATAATTTAAAAGTGATAATTTTAAAATTAAGAGAGATCAATTTTTGATCAAAATGACAGTAAAATCTATTTAAAATTTGTTTCTAAGCAAACAGATTGACTAACAGACTGTGGTTCATACAATGTCCTCTTAAACAAATTATCTTAATTGCAGTACAAAGAAGCAGGTCACAAAAAAAAAAAGGACAGCTTCCAATTTGATTTAACACTCACTTTATCAGACAGTATCTTTAAAAATGTAAGATTTTTCATGTTCACTTTCCCCATAAGATGTAAAGAACATTCAGAACTGTTTGTTTATACAAGACTTACATCCAGCAAACCAAACTGGAAAAAAACCAACAAAAAAACAAAAAACAAATTATTTTTGCACCATCTCCTGTAGGCATGAACGCCCCCCGAAAGTAGCTAGTGTAATTGTAATAAACTAAACTGCTTATGTCAGTCAATTAGACAAGGTTATATCAAAACAAGATTATAAATGTACAGGAAGCGGATTTATGTACACCATGATGCTTTAAAGTGCCCTACGGCTGTTTGAGAATTACTCTCCTAACTCTTAGTTATTTTCAGATTAAAACAACTGAGTCAAATGCCTTCTAAAGTTTCTTTCATGAGGTTAGAGCCTCTAAACTGGAGCCATTTTGGACCAACCACTGCTCCAGTAACACTGGATTGGTAAAAAGGAAAAAATGTGAGGACGCTGATATTATTCTGCCCCTTCCACAGCAGTAGTAGAAACAGCCTTAACATAATAAGGACCTTCATGCAGATAAGCCCTCAGCCTTAAGTAGTATTGGTTTCCAAATATTTCAGCTATTGTTTTGGAATTTACAAGGGCCTTAACCAGTTCATATTTGGCATCCTTTGAAGCTTTGTCAGGTTCCACAGATCTGTCTACAATATATTCCACAAATCCTGGACTGTCAAGCATCAGTTTTTGTGCCCATGGTTGGTTTGCAATAGCCTAAACATCAAGAAAGAAGAAAAATAATCAAGTTTGGATTTTTTTAATATGCTAATATAATACACTGATTGTTAAGCAATAGTCGGGGACAAGAATACAACTGAAATCAGATATGCAGTCTGGGCAACTGGAGGATGGAGACTAGAAGACAACATTGTGGCTGTCCAACCAAGCAGTAGTATTTTAATTCTAGACACAGATTCTAGAGTTATTTTTCCCCCTTTAGATTGTAAATGAATTATGGACCACCACTTTTGTGGCACCAAACATAATTCATTTTTTAGTTTACAAGAGGATATAAAGTGCAGACCAGATTCATTTGGTGCCTAGTTTGGATTCTATTTGGGTTCCGGTCTGATGTATGAGGGTTGGACACAGATTTGTATACAGAAGTCAGTCTACAAAGATAATATTTACACACATTATTACAACTTGATGCTATCACTAGGAAAGGAATTTACAACTTCTAGTCTCATTTTTAAAAAAGGAAACTTACGGTAAACACTCTTAAAGCCCCACAGTGGAGATCAGGGAATGGTTGAGTACCAATACTCCTGAAGAGTTCCAATGGCTGGCTAGACAAGGCAGCAAACCAGGATTCAGTCATTCCTAGCAGGTCTTCTGTTTGCTGGTCTGGCTACACATGGAGAGAAAGTATGAAATAGGCTAGAAACATTGTGATGAATAATTTTTGCATTTTTAATATTCGTACTCAAGAGTCAGGAAAATTATAAAGGAAAAAATCAATTTAAAACTAAGTCACCTAGCCATTAGCAGTTTAAACAAAGAATTTTAAGTATCAAATTTACTTTTCCCAAATATGCAGTTCACTTTTTGTATTTCACTCAGTTTGGAGGGTAGAATTTTCTCAGGGATTCTTAGGAGTTTCACTACTACTACTTCTGCTGGAATTCACAAGGCTGCAGGGGAAGTTTAAGTGAGGATGCTTCACTCAGGTGAAAAAATCTTAATGTAAACGGAAATGGTTTCAAGTGGGGTGGGTTACACAATCCAATTACAACGTTCTGGTCTTCAAGTAGTTTTACAATGTCCCTTTAAGCCATAAGTATTGTACTACATGCACTTTCCTTTTCATTGTAAAGTTGTCCTATTCTGAGCAAAGTGACAATTTCACGGAACTCTAGAACTTTGCATTCTGAACACTGAAAACAGCTATTATTTAGCAGAAATGTTATGTATCTAAGCACAAACACTTCACTTACATGAATTAAAACCACAATGTTACTCTTCTCCACTAGAGAATACAGTATTTTTTTTAAATAAAAGTGTAAAGAGTTCATTACAAAAACAGTAAACTATTAAGAAACCTTGACTTAGCCTCTACAAAACACACAATAGTGTCATTTCTCTACATTTCAAACAACTTACTGGCAAGTAAAGAAGCGATGATATGGCATCCAAACATCGAAGTCTTAGCTCTGCTGGGGGATTCTTTGCCTGGTGCCCGAGTCTGTTTAACAGATGTTGAAATCTACTCCCTTTGAAAATAAAAACATTAAGAAATTTTCATTTGTCATGCATACTCCCAACATGCTAATAAAATCTCCAGTAACTTCTGTACTATGTCAAATGATCAGTATTACAGTCGACTGAATTAAATGCTAGAGAAGAGCGCTGGGATGCACAGCCTGAGCAAGAGCAGTTCTAGATATACTCTACTGACAATACATATAGCTGCCATCTCTTGGTATGGCAAACTGGGTCAGTTTTGAACCAGTAGTGAAAAAGGTTCTGTATCTCATTTCGAATCCTCTGGGCCATTTTGGTCAGCCATTTCATCTTCTACTAAAAGAAGTCCTATAATCTTCAAAAAAAGGGAAGTTACCAGGAGAGACACAAAAAGCATATTCATCCATGTCTGTAGGCAAAAGATGTATAGTACATGGCTGTATTTTCCTCATCCTTTTTAAGAAAGCATATCACGGAAGAAAGATGAACATCTCCTAAAATTACAGTGCTGTTGTGGACTTGCATTATGCTGAGCACTGCAATACGAGGAATTTTAGCTGACAGCCCAAGCTGCAGCTCTGACACTGCCATGTGTTTCATGAACACGGTTTGATCACAGCCAGTAATGCCATATATATTAGGCTCCTCTTCAGAACCAGTAGTACTTTCCTCTTCCCCTATTCTCCCACACCCTACCAAAATTAAAGAGGGACTATGAATAGAAAATTATTATTCTGCTGCTTTGCAGCTATTAAAACAAATAGAAATCTTTGGTAAGTAAATATATTTTAAGGTCCCTTTCCCCACTCCTGAGTGTGAAAATCCCTCAGTAAACTCTCCTTTGTCTATTAGAATAAGGGGGAAAAAATTGATGCAAACCAGATTTCTGTAAAACCTGTTTTCCTTCCACATTTGATCCCAGGATTGCAAGCGTGTCCACAGCCACTCCAATCATGGTTGGGTCATGGCCTTCAGCCATTCCAAATACTTTTTCCATAAAGATGGGATATCGTTCACAGATCTGCTGTGGGCTGTCTACAATAGCCAGATTTCCAAAAAATTTCACAAATCCTACCAAAAGCAAAGCAAGAAACATTCAACAGAAAAGAAAAATAACGTCAGTAGCATAATTTCAAGTCAATAACCAGGAAAAAGATACCAAAAGACTTTTACACGAATGGCATAATTAAAAAAATGTGTTGAAGATAAAATTGTTCAGCTGTAAAAAAGTAATATGACTGAAAGGACACCACTAGATAAAGCCAGTATTTTTAAAACAAACGTGTATAGCACAAACAGAGGCAGTGCAAGCTACTCCTACATGCTCAATGGATATCTAGACAAGGCTAAGAGATTTTAAGTGGTGGTGTTTTTTTAACCCTCTTATCCCAGCCTAGACATGCCCCCACAGTATACTTCAACTTTGCTCTACAAGAGCTCATTTTCCATCACCTCTCTGGTGAAGCTGTAACAGTGCAATGGCTTCCTTGTTTGTGTGAAATAGACACCTGTCTACTAATAAATGGGCTGACCCAAGCACCACTGAGTTCCACATAAAAGTTACACACTTATAGGTAGTTGGATCCTGAATTTCAGATCAAATTGCAGTTGCTCAATATTCAAACAGGATGTAGTTCATTCATATTCCCCACTTTTCCTGACCACTACCCATTTAAAAAGACTGGGACCTCCTTTAAAAGAGACACTGTCAGGTTAAAAGTAATATTTAAAAAAAATAAATTTCCTTAAGTGACTAACACCTTAGATATTAAAATTATTTATGATGTTTGCTTCTCATTTCAATCACCTTGGACAATGAAAACAGGACTAGTCAGTCTCATTTTCTGAGTCTCAAAAAAAAAAAAAAAAAATGTTTCACTCAATAAAAGTTCAGGAGAACATTTCTATTAAAAGGGATATCCCAACTTTAAGAGAAACAAAATTATTTCTACCAGAAGATTTTTTTAAAGACCTTCTTTTACTGCAAGTAACACTTCAGATTACTATAAACTGAAATATTGGAGAAAATGAAGGAGTGGGGTTTTGTTTTGTCTTTTAAACACTGTACACCAAAATTTTGTAAGATGCAGAGTTTCTCCCACTTGTGCAGGAGTTTCACACAGCAACAGAGGTGAAAACTTACATTTTAAAAAAAATAGTAAAAATATAATCGCTAGTTTTTGTGTTTTTTCAGATGTATCTGGGCAGTGGAGTACCTCAAACTTCTTTGAATTTACATTTTTTAAACTGACTAGGTTTCAAGTTGTTGGGGTCCTTCTAATATCTTGTTTAGCGAGACAACAGCAATTCTTCAACTGTGTGCCTACTATACCTGACAGCATCCCTGTAACTCATCTTTTCCCAGTGCCCTTATGTAAAGAAGGCAATCACGTTTTAGACCATTCATAAACATTTATAACATTCTTACTATCAAAAATACACATTTCCTCTCAGGACAAAAGGCTCAAAGCCCTTAGTTTAACAGTTCTTTAGAGGTGAACAACATTACACAACGTTGGAAACAATCAATGCATAACATCACCTGGCAAATAGAAGCCTGAGAAAGGATCAGAATCTGCCCCAATGATTATATTGGAAATTTTATCAATGATTCCTTGCTGGGCAAGATATTGACGTCCATGCTTAGTGTATGCCAATGAGGTCACCATCTCTATACTGGTAGCTCTACAGAAGATAAAGAATAAATGCTCACCTGGCCTATTTCATATCCTTTTTAAAGTAACCTAAATATCTAGATAATCTCAAGAGACTGATAAAGAAAATAATGTTTTAATCTTTCACAGTTGTCATTTTAAAGATAACATGCTCCTAATATTTATCTTGCAATAGTACCCACAGACTGCAATCAGGAGCACAGGTCTAATTCGGTGGTTGTACTGTGCCGAGTGTAAGACATGGCCATATCCCAAAGAGTTTAAAGCAGAAGTATTAGCACTTAAAAAAAAAAATTGTCCAACTAAAATTTAAAAAATAATTAACCTGACTTGTGAGGGTGTGTGTGTGGTGGGGGTGGGGGGGGG